AATAAACCTGTGCTGCGGTCGTTGTGCTGTAGAAAACTAGACATTTGCACCATATTTGCATGGTTGCTAAGTGTTTAAAACGTTTCATAATGCGAGAACCCTAAAGCTGCGCATGGGGATGTCCGTTAGAAGTCGTATAAGGAGAGATAGAAGAGCAGTTCTCGAGGGTTGGCCTCGTAAGATTTTTTCGCACAAATTTTAAAGGGTTGTTCAAGTGGTGCATGAACTTATGCTCCTTTGCCTCCATATTGCATAAGCATTTCCTCTGTGAAGTGGTTATGGGCAGTATTAAGAAGTCTCAGAATCATAATGTAACGCAGGATTCATAAGCCTCTGACTTCGCTGTATTGGTTTTGGTGGGTGGCGTTTTGAATACGGCGTGTTGCATTGCTCGTATTCATTTTGTAGTTGAGCGCTTTCAATGCTTGATGTCATGCTTGCAATATGTAGAGTTTTCTGAGCGCAGTCAACCTGATCTGGCGCTCCCAAGTCTGTGTTACCGAATGTGATGATGGGATTCGGATCACGCAAAAACAGGACTGGGCCCAGCGATATGGTTACTTCGGTAAGTAGCGGGCCTTGATCATTTTCTTTATTCGAAATAATACAGAATTCGAACATTGAAACATGAAACACTGAATATCGCCAAACAACTTGAAACAACAAACAACATTTTTAAAAAATAGCATTTTTCAGAGGATGTGCGACCACGGGTAAATGAATTGGTAGACGACGAAATGTGTACTTGGGAACCCACCTACGAATTCTACAAAATGAATTTCCAAAAAGAAAGCGCATGAAAAAAGATGTTCCTAGTTTCAAGAGGCGAGAATTCCACATTGACGTGTACGTTTTGTTTGGTCGTCTCTAAGTCCGTCATCGCATAAGCACATTCATGCTTGATCTTTTAGTAACAGACATAAAGAGCTCATGAAGAAGCCTGCGAGATCACTGGAAGAGGCAGAGGGCTAAGAACGTATCAGAGGCGCCCAAGAGGGTATCAGGCCCGCCGTGTCGCATTGGATATTTGATGATGCCTTAAGTTTTTTGGAATAGGCGGAGTACATAGGGTATTTTCTATAGAAATATGTTGGAATGGCTCTCTAGTTGTTAGCAGCTATTCCATTCTAGAACCACGATCTCGAAATAGTAGGGCAATCCCGGCATTCTTTGTTAGATGAGCCTTCTGGCTATGTGTTATCGGTGGCGAGTACCGACTCTCCAGTCAACTCGTATTGCAGCAGTTTGAGTGATTGTGGAGGTCCTAGTCAAATTACGCATAAGCAAAAAGGAAGAGCTCCGATAATGGTATACTGCTTTAACTAGGCAAGATGGCTGCGGTTTGAATATTACAGATTCAGAGGCTTCGGCAATATTGAAAGAAGCTTCAACTCGCGTGATGGAATGTGCTGCTACTGTAGCTGCAAGGGAATCGACGCAAAGGAATGATAAGTATGAATGTTTCGGTAGGCCAACTTGTTGGTTACTTGTCGGACAACTCAATTTCGCAGCAGCTCCTTTTCAGGAAAATACGTGGCTTCTGTTCTCCGCGGATATAGCGAAGAACAAACAAGATGAATGTACTCAATTCTATTTTGTTGGCCAACGGACCGCTAATCATCGATTCTTCGATAACGAATAGTCCCTCATATCAGCAACAGCAATGAGTGCTAAGGGTGAGATTCGAGTACAAATGTTGGTGAATATATTAGGTTGACACACAATTTTTTCTGGTTTTTTCCAAAAAATTTTATTTAAAAGACCATAAAAATACTCTTCTTCTCTTTTCTTCTTTTCACACATTTTTCCTCTTATGATTTGTCCCTCCTATTAACTGTACAATTGTATTTGGTAGATCCGATGTACTCATTATTTACTCACATTTCTTTTTTACCATTGCCATTGCATATCCTTTTTTCCCTTAGTAGTTCCCCTACCCCATAACCACCTGTATTTCGGGTATCTAAGCTGGTATCCGAGGCCGCAATCCCTCAACTGCTATTCCTCCCCCCCCGTTCCCCCCGTTTTATTGTCTTCCTTTATATCCTTCATGTGAATAAGAACATATTTCTTCATATTACTTCTATTGTAACTCTGATGCTATCCCGAACCTACCGTTGTATATTGCTTGAACAATAGCCCAATAAATAAATAAATAAATAAAAATAAACCGGAGTATATAAAATTCTCTTCCTTAAGTCGTCGAAGCAAGACGTAAGTTGCCTNCTTCATGTGAATAAGAACATATTTCTTCATATTACTTCTATTGTAACTCTGATGCTATCCCGAACCTACCGTTGTATATTGCTTGAACAATAGCCCAATAAATTAAATGAAATACTGAACAAAGACATGCTCGAATAATTCTCCGGTACGTATCCACCATCTACGTCGAGCACTGCTTTGTTAGATTTCTTAAGGCGGAGCGGAAAAGTTTCGAATTTGGAGGTGACCCACGCCTTGACATACATCGGCTATAAAGTCATCCACTTCGTCGTTCTGTTCTGTTGCCTTGCCAGCTTTTCAACGAGTGCTTGACGTTATAGTCCATAGTAATTACTTCGGGTGAATATGGCGGAAAAGATCCCTCCAGTTATTCGGCTGGCTAACTGTTCTATCGCCGGAAAGTTTGTTGAGATTGCTAGATGACTCTGCCACCTCCCAACAATTCTCGACGTAGTAGGGCATAATGTGGAAAAACTGAAGATGACTCTCTAGACGCTTTTCTGCTAAGGAACGCGAGAACATTGTCTCTATAAAATTCATGAGTTCAATATTTAAGTTGTCTCGGGAGAAAAGGACCAGGGAAAAAATACACAATAGTTATGCATCAACAAAGTATTGTTAAAAACAATCATTAACATTCGTATAATCAAAATGGAACGCTAGTGGAAGTAGTCACGTGAATCGCAGTATGTTATCATCAATTCACGTGCTCGCACCGCATGATGCGCTTATTCTTCCTCTTCTCGAACTCCATCATCGAGTGTGTCCAGCTCTAGAATTGCAGGTGGTAGCCGTTCCACATCGCTGTCCATATTCCGCCACCCAACTATCAAATTGTGCAGCACCTGGTTTAGGAAAAGAAGCTGGAAAGTTGTACTTTTCAGAAAATTCTGAACTAAAGTAGTGACGAAACAACTTGAGGTGCATGGGTGGGATCCATGTGCAAGGTGGCAAATGGTTGTGTCAACCTTCGGAATATTGACCCGCCGGTTCCGAATTCTATGGAACCGGCGGCTCAGTATTCCGAAGGTTGACTCAACCATTTGCCGGACACCGTTACAAAAAATTAATTTGTCCAAAGCAATAGAAAAGGGTAGCATTTACCCGCTGAACTTCGCATTGAATCTCCTTTTGCTAGGCGTATTCTAGCTAGCACGTGTATATGGTCGCACGAAGCAGTACCCCTGTGCGAAACCACAGTCCACCAATATGTGGTAATGCACAGAACCAACCCTCCCCAGGTTTCGTGATCGTGTGCGTTGCTGTCGATCAGTCATCAGTCATCAGTCTGGAGTAATCACGTTTAGTGGTTTCAAAAAACTCTTTTGTTATTTTTTGCTTACTTTTATATTCAACCTCGGTAAACTCCCGCATCTCCCACTCGACATGACGCCCCTACATCAAAAGCGAGAATGCGGTGATCGCAAACCGCCGAGGCGAGGAGGATGATGGAGTGCGTGCCTTTGTAGCTATAGTACATCGCTCCAGAGCGAGCAGGCTTCTACAATTTATATAAATATGTATTGCAATGAAATGAATCGGCTTTTACCTTGTTGTTTATGTGCGTGCTTCCCGTCCATGAAGCCCACAGCCCTTGGCTAGGCGAATTTCACCTGCGCTATAGCAGCAATTTCTTCAAACACCTCCCTGGTGAATGGAGGAAATGCCTCACCAAACCAAACTTGAAAAAACAACTTCTTAAAGGGCATCAAATTTTCGCTACGTACTACTAATTATCTTTTATTGCCTCACCTTCCGGATAGCACGTGCCACTTCATAAACAATGCCCTGCATTGTCGATGTTCCGCAGTGGACTTCCTCGGCTGAAGCTGCGAACGAATACACTGTGTCCGACAAACCTTAAATTGAAGAAATCAGAAATTCTAGAATATTTATCCCCCGCTGTTGGTTGCTGCACCTCAAGTATGAAAATCCGTTGATGGCTGCTAGTTGGTGAGGTATGGGTCGGAGGGTGTCGCAGCAACGGAACACGGCGTTCATGGAGGCGTTCGAACCCAATCGGTAAGAGCCTCACATAGTGTTCGAAGTTGTGGGCACCAACACTCTTTACTACTCCTCGAACGTCCTCGCCCTGTTGCCGAGGAGCGGCACGTGCTCCCTCCGTACATACTGGCTTCGCCCTCGTCCACCGCATTCCAGGGGGTTCCAGTAGGCCCGATCCAACACTGCCACAACATCGATCAAAACTCGAAGGTCTTCAGCCATCTAGATCATTTTTTATTACCGCTTCCGTCAATGTACCATCACGAAAAACGAACGAATAAAAATATACTTGCATAAAATATTAATAGGAGGCATCAGCAGACTTCAAGGACCAGAGTTCTGGCTAAGTTTAGTATAAATCAAAGAATTACAATTCAAGTACTCACGATTCGAAGGAGTTGTTACGGATTCCAATCCTCTCACCACTTTACTACTTCTTCTGTTACTTTCTTTTCCTTTCGGAAAAGACATTACCGATGGGAAAAATTGCGAAATCCTTTGAGAAGCTATAGCAGAGCATCTCTCAACCTGCCAATTTGCTTTTTTTGTTGTCATAATAGCAACCATTACCCCGGAATTGGTTTGATTAATAGGATAAGATGAGCTTTCCCCAGGAATGTTTCTATGAAGGAAGAACTTTCATGCTGCTATACGTAGAAGAACTTGATTCTTACAGTAATCTGCGGGTCCTCACTCGAAAGAGTGGCCGCGATGAATAGATACGAACCTGTGAAGTGGCCTGACTCGCTTTCTTTCTCAACAACATTTAGATGAAAACTCAGCAAGAAGTCTGCGATGACATAGCGAAGGAGTTGGAACGGCTCAACGTAGAAATGAAGAAGGACTTCGATTCGAAGTTAAAAACAAAGAGGGAGAAATCGACAAGAACTTCAAGAATTCCAAAGCGAAATCCGAACCTGATGCTTACCAACGAAGCTGGTCAATACTGAAGGTAAACTGGAGAATTCAGAGCAGTTGAAGGGAAGCTGGCTGCTCTTTATTTCGGCTTCCCGCATTGCTCACATATTTGTTGAGACGAGATAAAGAAAATGGTCAAGGTTGTGGACATTCTCTATGCGAAACGAGGTAAGGAGAAAACACCTATAAAGCCTATCTTTATATCTGTTGATCCGGAGCGCGATACAGTACAGAGAGTGAAGGAATATTATGCTAAAAAAAGGTTAGCACACCAAAATCAAAAGGTTTCACTGGATCAGTAGAACAGGTGAACAAAGTCGCGAAAACATTTCGGGTTTATCACAGTCAAGGGCCTCGTACTGGAAAAGACGAGGATGATTATATCGTTGATCACGCTGTCACCACATATCACATATCGATCCTGATGGACTTTTCCATGAATACTACGGTCAGGCAAACAGCCGGCGAGATCGCCAATGTTGTTGAAAGAAAGACGCTCAAGTTCCATGCTCATAACAGTAAAGGACTTAATCAGGTACAGTTGTCTATTGTTGTCTCCTGTTGCCATCTATGCTCGTTTGTACTTGATATTTTCGCGTTTATTCCTATTCCTTATTCGTTCCCAGTCATTGTTTTCTGGTCTCCCCGGTACTTTCACATATTTTGCTTTGCTCATTGCTGGCAGCTATTTCTAGGCTGGTTGTGTAGGATAATTTGGCTCTTAAGTTTTATAACTAATAACTCGTTTAATGGTTTTCTGGATCACAGTCCTGATAGTTCACGAGCTCTCAAGCTCAGATTTATTTCCCATACCTCGCATCAAAAACGCTTGCTCGTTTTCAAACTGGCTGGTCTGTCGTAGGACGTAGGTCCATTATAGAGGTTGACTAAGTCTTTTGTCATTTTCATCGTTAACCCTGTGTCTTTTCGACAAATATAGAATGGCTTAAAGTTCTTCTGCTACGGATGTGTGAATTATTATTTTTGGTGCATGCAAAGAACCACTGTAGTAATCTTGGTACGGGGCGGCCAATTTGAAGTTTTGGGGTGTTGCTTAGGTTCTAATTAGGTTTTGTATTCGCACAAGTGCCTAAATGTGTAGTTGTCTGATGATATGCAGTTGAACAGGTGTGTTGTTGTTGTTGTATGGATGAATTATGTGTAAACCAAATACGCGACGTATGTGTTTCTCTTCTGAAACCTATTCCTTTTGAATCCTGTGGTGCACATCAGTCGTAATAGTATGGACGCGATCATCAGTTCCACTGATTTCTCTGTTCTGAACGTGCAATAACTGAGGCTACCGTATTTAAGCTTTCAAAGATAGACTCAATATTATTACTATTTCGGCCCTTCAAATCGCAGAAGAGAGAGGGTCCATTATAGATTACTGGCAATGATATAAGACAAAGAGCAGCGCAGTGCGGGGACACAAGGATGCCTTCCATTCTCAGTGAGTATGAGTGAAGCCCTGAACTTCATTAGCCTTCCCTATTTTTTTACCTTTTTATTTGGGTGTTCGGGGCGGTGAGCCAGAGTCAAATGCATCGTTATCATGGTGTGTCGTCTCGCTTAACAACCGTGAGCTCACCATAAATCAGCATTCGCGAAAGCTATTTGTTGACAAATTGTTTTTCATGTTTCTGTTGTGTTCTACAGTTATTCATCTTGTTTCTTGCTCAGTTTTTACCCAGTTAAGATGACTCTCATATGTATCGCTTATTTTGCACTCTGTTCACATTTGATAAATAATCTATTTATATTTATTGCGTCGAGCGATTCTTCATAGATGAAATAATACAAATCTTTATTTCTCTCACATACAGCGTACACAAAAATTGGCAAGTCGAACTCTTCATGAAATCCTCTTCGGCAGGTCTCGCTTACTGACCCACTCGTACAACCACGAATAGGTAGATGACACTTATGTTCGGCGTGCTGCTCATCTTCATTATATTACTGATCAGCGAAGAGAATTCGATGGAGACAACAACTCGCAACACCCACAAATTTTACGCGATAAATTATTATGTGAAATTCATACAATCCCGTCCCACCCGTCATCCCCATCCCACATCAGAGGAGAATAACGAAAGAAATTCATCATGTGTCCAATGCACTCACAATGAATAAAAAACAAAAAGTTTTGGCCATAGAAAGATTAAAGAGCAAAAATATCAAAAACATAACGAGGTGAATCCACTTAAATAAAGAACAAAAAAACTAACTTCGCTCATCCGTCCTTCGCGTTCCCGAGCTTTTCTGATGGTGTCACATGACACATCCAATAATATCAAAGCCTGAAAGTAAAATGATCAGAAAGCGAAAAAGTACTCAAAGCACACATCATCCACGGCGAATATTAAAAATACCGGCTGTTCACTGTAATATCAAGGTCTAGGTGCCAGCGCACAATGCTAGAGCTTATCCAGAAAAAGAGCAACAGAAGGAAAAGAAGAGACGACAAAAAAGTACAGAAAAAACAGAAAGACCAACGGAAAGACAGCAAAAATACAAATGCTTTGACGATTTTTGTTCATAACTTTTTTCTTAGTAGACCAAATCGTGTGGAATTTCTACGTGTTTAGGTAGTGCATATTTCACTTTACCCAGCCTATTCGACTGCAAATAGGGGTGTGTGTACATTCATGCGATTCGAGCTGCGCGCGGCAAATTGCGCGGCGAANTTCGCCGCGCAATTTGCCGCGCGCAGCTCGAATCGCACGAATGTACCGCCCCCCTGCAAACAGCAATATCTACATAAACAGGAGCAAGGGTTTGATGTGATAGTAGACTTCTTCTCCTCTACTGAGCTCGGTATTAATGTTCGTACACCTTAGACATGGCGAAAAGGAAAGAGATTCTGGACGGGCCATCATCTGTATTTCCAGTTCATTTTGAGTTAAAGTTCTTTAGAGTATCTGGAACACGATGGACTTTAGATCAATAGTGGCAAATATTCACAGCACACCCATGCCACACATATTGAAATTTTGCATGATTCGATCTACTAGGAAAGGAGTTACGACTGAAAGTACGACCGAAAAGCATTTGACCGAGAACTTTCGAGCGCTGCTTAAGTCGAAGGCAGCAGTTTCACGAAGAAAACAGAATAAAAATGAACGAAAATAAACTCAAAACCACCGCAAAGCAAGAAAAACCAAAAAACGGCGACCGACGCTCAGAGTGCACAAAAACCAATCATCGTCGATTCGCGGTATCGATCGGTGCCCATTGCTGTGATACACTTGGATAGCCGCTCGCACGCCGCACGCAAAATTGAACCTGCGTTTCCACCTGCGTGCCGGCATGCACGTCGAAGTATGAAAGCAGTCAGAGATGATATGGGCTTCAACCAGAGTTTCTTCTGAATTTTCAGTCATTGAGCAGTGCAGTGCCACCCTCTCCCGGATCACCTTAAATACAGCTCTTGCTGCTTCCGTGATCATGAAAACGTTTGGTTCTCTTCTTGAATGGTTGCCGTTGCCCTAACGGATACGATGCGCGTTCATTGAACCCATTAGCGGCTATTACAGCCTGGAATTAAGAGTTTACCGATCTCAGAAATGCAAACGGGACCAGAAAACAGGGTCCGCGGGGCGGATAATAACAAGTGCATTCGGCTTTCAACTCTAGCTCCTCTACTAACATCTTCTCTGATTGTGGGCCTCCACTTTTCTTTCTAGCATGTAAATGGGCAACAACTTTTTAAATATCATGAGACAATTTACTATTAGTTGCCGCATCCTCAATTCCAAACACCAGTTTTGCGCTTTCAGCGTCTTGAACCTGCCTGCACTGAAGACTAAACGCGTACTTAAGCTCTGGTACAACCGTTCCGATTAGTTCCGTTCATTTTATGGTGAAGATTACTGAAAAACATCCTAGGACCACAGCCTCGCACTTTCCGCAACTCGAGACCATGTATGCTTGAAGCAAACAAGCCCAATCTGCTCATCCAGATGCTTATAGACCTCGACGCTTCTAAGAATTGGTATAGAGTCCACCTCAACAGCGTGATCTCGTCCCAAATTCTGAATTGATAAGCTTTCTTGTGTTTATTTGCAAACCAAGTTGTTTGGCGCCTCTCTGGATCACTGACTTTCAACGAGCGGTCCCAAACTGGCATCCATACCTCAACGTCGTCCATGTAGAACACATGACTAGCCTAGAGGACACTGCCAGAGCTACTCTATAAGCCGGTTGTCGTCTTCTGAGGCTTGATGCGAGCCTGGATCCACGCAGAGAAGGATGCTATCTTCAGACAGAGCAACAAAAGGCTTGAGGTGATGCTTGTGTAAGACCTTTTCCAATCTGGGAAAGTTAACCCTTGACAGCTGCCCATTCGCATAACCAATGTACCGCACGTTCTGGAGAAACGTGATGACAGCCGCTGGAGTCTTCCAACGAAACAGCCACTGCTTCACACCTTAAATGATGGCACCATGTCGCAGGAATCGTGCGCTTTCGTCATACCAACCCAAAGCATGTGCCACTGATCATTATGTGGCTCGGCATCTCTACAGGGGTTTGGCTCAGTCTCTGGGCATGGATGTAGCTCCGAATGCCTTCTTGTAGGGTGACCTGACAATCGGAAATCTGTGTCCTACCTTTTTGAAGACATGTTTCCCCGCATGTGAAACAAAATCTCATAGCATGCTTTCAAACATGCAATGGATTGGAGTCCCAGCGTGTTAAGATCGCCTTTCTTCTCGGCACCAGTACCACTCTACCCTAGCATGACCAGTTCGCGATCAAGTTTCTTGGATGCACAACACCAAAAGGCACTAGGACGTCGAGCGCAGCTTAAGTTCTGATAGGTGCTCCCACAGGAAGTCTTGGATGTCATCCGACAAACAGCTATGCGATTCTAAGAGCCTTGACTATTCTTCAAAAACAGAACTTCCATCGAAAGATCTCGATATCCCAACGATTTGTTGCCAATATTTACGCACACTGGATATCGGAGCCTTCGGTGACGCTCGATGAACACGAAAGAAGCTCACCTCCGTCGTACTATCTTTCAACGTCGTGTTTCCTATAAATTCCTTACTTCGATTTGCGCACCATTCAGTTGGTCTTTAACTTCCGTAAAACCCGCCCCATCTCCTCCACGTCAGATTTTATGCACTGCTGCAACTCGAAGGAACTTCCGGCTGGGAATCAGCATGGTCCCTTCCTTTCGCTGGAGCGACACTTTAGGCCTTCGCGTTTCCTCAGTAAGTGTCGAAACGATTCTTGTTTGACTTCAAAGTTCGAAAAGCTCCTCAAGAGGCGTTTGGGATCGACATGCATGCGACCTCGCCTCTACCCTTTCGCTGCAAAAGTAATTGCTTTCGCCATTGCATACACTGCTGCGTTCAGCTGGATATCTACTGATGTCCATTGGGGTGTGGTAAATTTTTCAGCTCACGGATGTCCTTGCCAGCAACATGAGGGTCCTTGGAATCCTAGCAGTGCAACCCGTTTTGAACACTTGCTTCGCGTTCGCCTCAACACTGATCAGAGAGCTTGATACTCTAGTCGTGTTAGTTACCAGAGTTGTGTCATGGATGTCCGGAACATGACCTCTATGCACGTCAGGTTTCGCAGTTCGCTGTCCATATACCACATCCCTCCTCGGCCGTTCGCCTTTGTGTATTACCAGCTAGAGTGTTCCTCTATGGTCCATGGTAAAATGTGGCCAACGTTTCAC